AGAAGAAAAGCAGCAAAAAAACATGGTAACGAGTTGATGACATGTACTTACTGTGATGCATTGGTGTGGAAATCTGAAAGTGTGCAATGCATTGGAAAAGCATTGAAATTTTCGATTTGCTGTCAGCAAGGACGAGTTGTCCTCAAAAGCCCTCGACACCCTCCAGCTTATCTAGATGACCTACTATTAGGATCAAGATCGTTTAGAAACAATATAAGAGCGTACAATTCAATGCTTGCCTTTACATCTATGGGAGGGAAAATAGATTATGATATCAAGTCAGGAGATGCTCCTTACACTTTTCGTATGCATGGTCAGAATTACCACAAAATTGGATCACTGCTACCGGCCGAAGGAGAAATACCACGTTTTGCACAGCTCTACATATATGATACCTGTCACGAGGTTCAAAACCGTCTCAAGGCACTAGCAAAAGGAAAAACGAATGAACTAGATGAAGAAATTCTGAGCAGATTGATTGAAATGATAGACATAAACAACAAGCTTGCTAAAGTGTTCAGAATCGCTAGAGATAGATATGAATCAGGAACAGGTGAGGAATTCTCAATTAGGCTGATAAAGAATAAAGAGCGTGGCAGACAATTTGATCTTCCAGAAAAAGACGAGATTGCAGGTCTTATTGTGGGTGACATGACTATCCCAAATTCTGACAGAGACATTATAGTGCATCCTAAAATGGATAAACCTCAATGGATAAGTATCTTACATCCATTGTACATGACGCTGCAGTATCCTTTGCTGTTTCCATATGGTGAGCAAGGCTACATTGAAAAAAGCATTCCATACAGTTCTGAAGCGTCTGCAATCAAGAGATCATATGTTACCATGCGAGAGTATTATGCATATCAAATACATACAAGATTATCATCTCCAGGGACAATAGTTCGTTCAGGTCGTGTTTTTCACCAATACATCGTTGATGCATATACTACTATCGAACAAGAACGTATGAACTTTTATCAGCATAACCAGAAAAAACTTAGAGCAGACCTGTACAACAATGTATGTGATGCAGTTGATCAAGGGGATTCAGATTCAAAAAAACTTGGTAAGAAGATTATTCTTCCCTCTTCATTCATCAAGACAGCATGTGTAACATCAGTCAAAGTTCCATGATCGCTGAATTACTCAAACAAACAGATCTTATAATTTGGGATGAAGCACCAATGTGTCATCGATTTGCTTTCGAAGCTCTTGATAAGAGTTTGCGAGATGTGCTCTCCGAGACAGATCCAGATGCAGCAGCCAAAACCTTTGGTGGGAAAACAGTTCTTCTTGGAGGCGATTTTAGACAAATTCTTCCGGTTATACCACAAGGCACCAGGCAAGACACTGTTAAAGCAACGATCAACCGATCATATTTATGGAACTATTGCTCTGTATTCACTCTTGAGAGAAATATGAGGTTGCACCAAGCGGAAAAAGATTTTGCAAGATGGTTACTACGTGTTTTTGATGGCACGACACCTAAGCCTCTAAAACATAGAAATTCAAATGATGAAACATCCAAGCTGCAAGTAGACCAAGACTTGCTCTTGCAAAACGATGAAGACTCTGAAGAACACATTGCAAAGAGTATATATCCAGATTTCCATGCTTTCTTTAAAGACAAGGATTATCTGATTGAACGTGCAATTCTTACTCCTAGAAACGAGACGGTAGATAAAGTGAATAACTACATGTTATCTTGCCTAGAAGGAGAAGCAAAGGAATATTTGAGTTCTGATAGTATCGGAGATGACAAAGAAGAAGTGGCAAATCAACATATTCTTTACCCCACAGAGTTTTTAAACACTCTGAAATTCTCAGGTATTCCAAACCACCAACTAACTCTGAAGATAAATGCACCAATCATGTTACTAAGGAATTTAAATCAAAGAGAGGGGCTTTGCAATGGGACAAGATTAATAGTAACTCGCATGGGCACAAGGATTATCGAAGCGGAGATACTAACTGGAGATCAAGTAGGGAAAAGGGTTCTTATTCCTAGGATAATTCTAACACCAACAGATGCAAGATGGCCTTTCAAACTAAGAAGACGTCAATTCCCTGTGCGAGTTTGCTATGCAGTGACTATCAACAAAAGCCAAGGTCAAAGCTTGAACAAAGTTGGTCTATATTTACCAAATCAAGTTTTTTCTCACGGGAAACTATACATTGCGTTATCAAGAGTGACAACAACTGCTGGACTCAAAATTCTTAATGTTGGAACAAACAAATATGACAATGATATCTTAGATAACATTGTATACCAAGAAATTTTCAACAACATATGAAATTTTAACAATTACTTTAGTTCGTTCAAAATAAGAATATAAGTCACTTAATTGAGTTTGGAAGCTTACTTTCATTGGATTCTCTTTACTTCTTCTGCTCTACCAAATATGAAGCGAATCAAATCTTCTCTATTTACTCTCTCTCTCTCTCTCTCTCTCTCTCTCTCTCTCTCTCTCTCTCTCTCTCTCTCTCTCTCTCTCTCTCTCTCTCTCTCTCTCTCTCTCTCTTTGCCTTCTTCATTTGCATTATCATCACTATCAGTGATTGCCCATCTATGCAATCTCTCAGTACTTCGAAAACTCTTAACTCCGACAACATCGATGTCTCCGCCGTTTTAGTATTGCGACTTACTCTTTTTAATACTGCCCAATTATATTGTTTATTAATGATTTGGACTACTTTCAATTATTGGGCTTATTAAAAAAAAAAGACTTCCCCAACTAGAAAAACCCATAATAGCTGTTTTTGTTTTTAATTTTCACTTGCTTTCTATAAGAACTATATTGGTCCTTATTTAACTCAAAAATAACGTATCTAGCCATAATTTAAATTAAGATATTAAAAATATAGAACATTAAAAAAAAGAGGTATGAGAAACACAGACAATATGTGATTTAATAAGCCAGAATAATAATATTTGAAACAAATATTTAAAATTCAAACAGAAATTACTAATGAATTAAACCCGTGCAACGCACGGGTCCTAATCTAGTATATATATATACGGGCTAACCTGTTAGTTTAACTGTCTCAAATCATCTGAATATCTTACATGTTTTAATAAATTAACTCATGGACCTTAAATATATATATATGTATATATATAACTCTAATCAGCTCGATCATATTATTGTATAATATAAATATTTATTAATCTCAAAGATTTGATATTTTAGAATGATTGTTTATGATAAAATACGATAAAATATTTATTTACTATGCATTTTTATAAAAATATTATTTAAATTTAAAATTTAAAATTAAATCTTTTCTGTTTTTAAGAAATTCTAAAATATTAAAATTATTATCTAAATTTTCGTAATAAAATTTAGTTATAATTTTTTTGAATTTTTTTGAATTTAAATTAAATTGAATGCAAATTTTTGTAACTAAATTTAATTAAATTTTTAATAATTTGAAATTTAAATTAAAGATGACTTAGATTTTAGGAAATCTAAAAATATCTAAATTAATAACTAATTTTCGGAAATTAAATATAAAAATAAAATAAAATATTCTAAAAAAAACTTTGGGAGTGTTTAGATGCAAGCACAGTGCTTCTGTTTTAATAGAATAGATAGATGGTAACGAGGCTTCATCTCAATTGAGCCAGACAACTAAGGGAGATAAACCAAAGGCCCACCAACAGCCCACATCAACCAATGAGACAAATATAGCAACAGCTTAGCTACAGTGAAAAGTAGAACAAGCAACCGTACAGAAAAAGTAGTCTAGCATCTTCTATGTTTTGTATAAATAACAAGCTATGTAAAACCCTAAATCTATCTTGAAATGAGGTATCAAAGTTAAGAGCTTTCTCTGTTTTTGCCAAATCCACCATTTTTTTCTTTTTGCTTACATAATGTTGTAGGTGGGCTGAGCATAGCCCCCTTTTAGTAATTTCGTTCAGGCCCGTTAGCGAAGTGGAAGCCCAATAAGATCAAAGATCGACAGGCCCATGCGCGAAGAGTAAAACGAAGTCGTTCGCGGAGATGACCTTTTCGTATCAAAGGAACAGCTCGCCACCTCGACATGGATGGGACAGTTCGCCACCTCGACATGGATGGGACAGCTTGCCACGTCAATGAAGATGAAACAGCTCGCCAGCACGACGTTCTGATAGACGGTCGGTCAGGTCTATCTACCCGGCCGCCCAAGCTACCCTGACCGAGATGTAACCTAATTTGAACACTATAAATAGCCCTGTAACCTCATTTAATACGGGATCCGTAATCTGAAATAGAAACCAAAATACTCAATACTTGTGATCACTAACTCTTACTTCGCAAGATAACCTCGCTGAAACTACCTCGAAACATTCATATCGACCTCGCCTTTATTTAACAAGAATCTCCGAGCTCCACCTAGATATATTTATTAAAGTGACCTCGTGTGCGGATACAATACAACAATTGGCGCCTACCGTGGGGCTAAGAGATTTCTTTCTACGCAAAGAGGGGTTCGATAATGTCAGGAATTCAAATCAACGAGACAACTAGTTTGCCCATCTCAACTACAGCCAAGGAGGGACTTCACGCGTCACCGGTTAACAATCCAGAGACCTCGAATAGGCAATCACCAACGATGAATCCTGTGAAAAACGCAACCTCGCACCCAGAAACGCAGGACGTAAACCGAAGCACACCAGCTCCTGCTGACGTCGCAACATTATTTGCGACAATGATGGCTCGAATGGAAGAACTGAATCAACAGACAAGCGCTCGACTGAACGAGCTCGCCGCGGCACAACTTTCTTGTCAAGATCAAGTCAACATATTACACTCGTCAGAGACCCAAGCCCCAGAGAGACCAACCCAAGAAATTCAGCGCGTACAGCGCGCTTTATTCGGAGATTCACCCGCACCACCAACAACAGAAAACATCCAACCTCGAACTGCGATGAGGTGAACATCGGGGATCCCGAACACGAAACACGTCGGCTTCAGATAAGAAACTCACAGCAGGACGAAGAAATGCTCGAAATGAGGGCCAAATTGCGAGCCATGACCTCGCTTGTACATCAAGCAACTAGCTCGGCACCTAAGATCGACCGTGTGTTGAAAGAAAGCCAAAGCACACCGTTCACGACCCGAATCACCGATTTCCCGATAAGAACTCAAGTGAAGTTCAATCTCCCGACGTATACTGGCAACTCGGACCCAAGCCAATTCATGGCCGCATTCAGCATTCAAATGGGCCGAGCACGATTCACCCCCGAGAAGAAAGATGTAGGCTTTTGCCAACTGTTCGTCAAAAATCTCAGCGGTGCGGCCCTCGTCTGGTTCTCCAAGTTAAAGGTGAACTCGATTGACAGCTACCAAGCATTGTCGACTGCATTCCTCAAGAGGTACATGATGTATATCCAAGGCGCCGTTTCCAGTGCCGACCTCTACCAGATTAAACCAGGCGAAAAAGAATCCCTTCGGTCTTTCATCGGCAGGTTCAATGCGATTGTTTCTCGGATCACCGTGACTGACGAAGCATCGCTGCCCGCTCTTCGGAATGCCCTGCGAATCGATTCAAAGTTTCAGGACAGCCTCAAGTTCAGCAAACCCCGAACTCTCGAAGACGCGCTTCACCGTGCCACTTTATACATCGAGGACGAGGAAGAAAAAGAGATCGCGTCACCAGCAAAAGCAACGCCGAAGCAGCAACCCCACAAAGAAATCCCCAAACAAGATTATCAGGAACCTCGACAACACCTCGACAATAACTATCGAGGTGACAATCGCCGAGGAGCGACGTATAACATCAGCACTCCACAACAACAAAATCGCCAGTATCAAAACCAATCGAACACCTGGCAACGAGGAGATCGTGGGGAGGCACGACCTTTCTGCGACTATCACAACAAATACGGTCACCTAACTGCAATGTGTCGCGAACTACAGGCCTATTTGCTCGCCAAATATCGAAAGGGGGAGATCGCATTAGCAAACCAGCCCCAAAACGCCGCGCCGCGAAACAACGAAGCTCGACCAACGGCTCCCACCGAGCAACTTCCGCCTCCTCCCCCAACGAATGAGCGATTCAACGACGATCTCGCAAAGAGAGATCGAGGTAACCAACCTCGAGGTGACACTCCTCTGGCATCTCGAAAGAAGGTGTTCTTTATCATGGGAGGCCTATCAACGTGCAACGATTCCGTCAGGTCAATAAAAAAATACGGCCGACAGGTCATGCTCGCACAAAAATGGCAAGTCAAAAGTCCCAAGACCGCCAATAATGCTGCGATCACATTCACCGAGGCCGACACGGAAGGAGTCGACATGCCACACAACGATCCGCTTGTGGTCGAGCTGCGGATCGTAGATTGCAAAGTGTCTCGGATACTGGTTGATACAGGGAGCTCGGTCGACCTGATTTTCAAAGAAACGCTTGACAAAATGGAACTGGCGAACCATCACCTCAAGTCCTCGGTTAAGCCACTTACAGGATTCGACGGAGATACGGTCTACTCGATCGGGACGATCAGGCTCCCTGTTTACGCGGCAAAGACAACCCGCCTCGTCAAATTTGTCGTTCTAGAACGTAATTTTGGGAACGCCCTGGCTACAATCCATGAAGGCGGTGCCGTCGACCTATCATCAATGCCTCAAGTTCCCAACCGCGTTCGGGGTAAAAACCATTCGAGGCTCTCAGGAGATATCAAGACTCTGCTTCGCCGTTGAGCACAAGCTTCGATTCAAATCCATGATCCCAGCCAAGGTGTGTCTTACGATTTTACCCGTAACACAAGCCGATTTGCCAACCCAAGAAAGACCCAAGCAGGAGCTCGTCGTCCAAGTAAACATCGACGAAAGCGACCCCGAACGATGCTCAGGAATCGGGGCTGATCTAAAGGAGGAGATCAAGGTTGAGCTCGTACGAAATCTTCGCCGAAATGCATCGACATTTGCCTGGTCAGTAAGCGATATGTCTGGGATCGATCCCTCAATAACAAGTCATGAGCTCAACATCGATCCTACGTTTAAACCGATCAAGCAAAAACGGAGAAAGTTAGGTCCGGAAAAGGCGCAGGCTGTCAATGATGAGGTCGAACGTTTGTCGAAGGCTGGCTCGATCATCGAGGTCAAATATCCCGAATGGCTGGCAAACCCTGTTGTCGTCAAAAAGAAGAATGGCAAATGGCGAATCTACGTAGACTTCACCGATCTCAACAAAGCATGCCCCAAGGATAGTTTCCCCTTGCCGCATATCGATCAAATCGTCGAGGCAACTGCAGGCAACAAGCTCCTATCATTCATGGACGTCTTCTCCGGGTACAATCAGATCACGATGCATCCCGAGGATCGTGAAAAGACGTCCTTCATCACCGATCGAGGGACCTACTGTTATAAGGTAATGCCGTTCGGTTTAAAGAACGCGGGCGCAACGTACCAACGTCTAGTCAACCACATGTTCGCCGATCAGTTGGGACGAACGATGGAGGTTTACATCGACGACATGCTAGTAAAGTCACTCACCGCCGGTGATCACGTAGGCCATCTACAAGCTTGCTTCACCAGATGAAACTCAATCCGACTAAGTGTACCTTCGGGGTAACTTCCGGAGAATTCCTCGGCTACATCGTCACTAAGCAAGGAATCGAGGCAAATCCGAAGCAGATCGATGCTCTAATCAATCTCCCATCACCTCGCAACACTCGCGAGGTCCAACGTCTTACCGGCCGAATCGCGGCGCTTAATCGATTCATCTCGCGATCCACAGATAAGTGTCTCCCGTTCTATCAGCTCCTCCGAGGCAACAAGCGTTTCGAATCGGATAGCAAGTGTGAAGAAGCTTTCCAACAACTTAAGGAATACCTCGCCAGCCCACCAATTTTAGCAAAACCCGAAACAGGCGTAACCCTCTACCTTTACATCGCTGTGTCGAGCTCGGCGGTTAGCGGAATCTTAGTCAAAGAAGATCGAGGCGAGCAGAAAACGATTTTCTACGTTAGTAAAACTCTCGACGACGCAGAAAAACGGTATCCGACTTTGGAGAAACTCGCGCTCGCAGTCATCATGTCCGCCAGAAAGCTACGACCCTACTTTCAATCCCATTCAGTCGTCGTCTTGACCAATCAAACACTACGATACTGCACAGCCCGAGCCAGTCAGGTCGCATGGCAAAGTGGGCTGTCGAGCTGACGGAGTATGATATTGAGTATCGCAATAAGACAAGTGCCAAATCGCAGGTCCTCGCAGATTTTCTAGTAGAGCTTCCGCCAGAGCTAATCCAAACCGACTTACCTGATGAGAAGTGGTCCTTGTACGCCGACGGATCCTCCTCGTCCCAAGGCGCCGGCATTGGCATCCGACTAGAATCTCCGACGAAAGAGATATTGGAGCAATCGTTCCGGCTCGAATTTCCAGCCTCCAATAACGAAGCAGAGTACGAGGCTTTACTCGCAGGACTACGTCTAGCACAAGGAATCGGGGTCAAAAGAATCAACGCTTTCTGCGACTCCCAGGTTGCTAACCAGTACAGCGGCGACTACGACACTAGGAACGACCCGATGGATTTATATCTTAAAGCCATCAAGAGTATCACGGATCGCTTCGAATATTTCTCACTCACCAGAATTCCGAGAAGTGACAACACTTCGGCAGACGCACTGGCCGCTCTCGCTTCAACATCCGAGTCGCATCAATGGCGCATGATCCCGATCGAAAGCATCGATTCCCCCAGCATCGTCTTACCTCGAGGAATATGCGCAGTTCGCGAGGTCGAAGCAAACAAATTAGACGCCATAGAATTGCCTCCCCCCGAGGTCGTCGATGAGCCTGCTGAACAAGAACCAGCAACCGAAGACTATAGGATCCAAATCTTACTCTACATTACAGATGGCCAAGTCCCACCTGACCGATGGGCAGCGAGGCGTTTAAAAGTTCGAAGCGCCAAATACATTCAGTCACACGGCGACCTCTATCGTTGGAGCTCAACCGGCGCACTACTCAACTGTTTGCATGTTGAGGAGACGCTCGATGTCATGCGAGAAACACACGAAGGAGCGTGTGGAAATCACTCCAACGGTCGAGCTATCGCTCTAAAAATCAAGAACCACGACCATTTTTGGCCGACAATGCTTACCGATTGCGATCGATTCGTAGCTCGCAGCGAGCAATGCCAACGACATGTGCCACTGATCAACGCACCAGCCGAGCTTCTGGCTGCTTCCTCGCCACCTTATCCCTTTATGCGATGGGAAGTGGACATCGTGGGTCCACTTCCTCGATCCCGACAAAAACGATTCATGCTTATCATCACCGATTACTTCACGAAATGGGTCGAGGCCGAATATTACGCCAAAATTAAGGCAACCGATGTGAAGAACTTTGTTTGGAAGAACATCATCTTCCGCCACGGATTGCCTTACGAGATCGTCACCGATAATGGCCCCCAATTTATCTCCGATGTATTCGAGGATTTCTGTGCAAAATGGAAAATACGACTTAGCAAGTCAACACCGCGATACCCACAAGGAAACGAACAAGCCGAAGCAACCAACAAGACTATCCTCGACGGCATCAAAAAGAGACTCGAGGATAAGCAGGGCTTATGGGCAGACAAGTTAGACGGAGTCCTCTGGTCACATCGAACTACACCGCGCAGATCGATGAATAAAATCCCTTTCTCGTTGTCTCACGGCATGGAAGCCTTAGCTCCCGCCGAGGTCGGTCTACCAACCATACGCAGAACGATGTTGACACAAGACGATAAAAGGAACGGAAGAATGATGAAGGATAGCCTCGACATGCTCGAAGAGGAGCGAGATCACGCTCTGTTACGTATGCAAAATTATCAGCAGCAAATCTCACGATACTACAACAAACGCGTGAAAGGTAGGCACTTCGAAGCTGGCGTCCTCGTCCTTCGTAAGGTGTTCAAAAATACCGAAGAATACCGCGCCGGAAAACTGGGCGCAAAGTGGGAAGGCCCCTACCAAATCACCAACGTTGTAAAACCTGGCGTTTACGAGCTGATGACGATGGATGGCGAAATGATACCGCGATCGTGGAACTCGATGAACATTAAGCGGTATTACTACTAAAAAAAAAAGGACGCTCACCGAGCTATACTCGGTCGAGCTAGATCTCGAATGTGAACTACGATCGGCTTGATCCCAATTTTGTTTATACCTACTTTTACATCGACATCTTTACATCGACATCCTAGCTAGATGTTAGATCTTCTAATACGCATTTCCCTACAATGCAACCTCTTAGCAAATCCTAAGGAACGAAAACCTTACGATTGTAAGAGAATAAGCTGGGACTAGTCCCGCATCCTTTCTTAAATCACCCGAATAACTACGTCGAGATCATTCTCACTATTCGGACACGATTAATGAAATAAAACAGGGTAAGCCGAGTCATACCTCGCACCTATTATTCCCTTAAGCCGAGTCATACCTCGCACCTATTGTTCCCTTAAGCCGAGTTTCACCTTGCAATTATTGTTCCCTTAAGCCGAGTTTCATCTCGCACCTATCGTTCTATTTACCTCGCACTTATTTACCTCGCATCTCGTACCTCGCCTCCATTATTCTCTTAGGTCATATCTCGCGCCTATCATTCGAGGGTTTTGTTTAATTAGCTCAAGTTTCACCTCGTATCAAGCATTTCATCTCGAATCTATTGTCATTTAAATTGCGAGCTAATACTTAGTCGTTTTGTTTTGCTTAAGTATACCTCGTATTTATTCTCTCTTTATAATTCAAATCGCGAGCTGGTACTTTGAGAAAAAAGCATTGATTAATAAAAATAGGTCGGGTCCTTACAAACGAGGAAAAATAAAAAAAAAGTCAAAAGAAAAGAGGCAATAACAAATAAGAAAAAGGCAAGTAAGATCTATTCTTCAGGCTCATTGCCGCCCTCGTGGTTCTCTTTGTCCTCGGCATCATCTTGATCCGAACCACCGTCTGGAGTTTCAGGGTAAGGCGGAGGCAAGTCGCCTTCCTCAAGATCCGTGAAGCTGAGGTTCTCGAGCTTCTGTTCGCAGTCGCGCTTCGACGATTCCAGCTCAGCTCTCAACTCTGCTTCAGACATCTCCTTCAAGAGATCAAGGCACTCCAATGTACCTCGAGCCTGAACCACATCGAGCTTAACCTTCTCGATCGTCTCCTGTTGAGCAACCCGAATCCTCAGCCGATCGATGCGACCTGAATACTTTGCCTCAGCATCCACCCAAATCCGTGTCGTCTCCATCTCGATCCTCTCTTTAGCTTGTCGCTGTGCCTGGACGACCTCAGTGGCGATCGACTTCTCGACCAGGATCTTGGCCTCATTGACGATCTGCAAGTTGTTGACTAAATCCAGGTTCTCTTGCTTCATCGCCTCGATCTTGTCGGTTAGCTCTTTCACCCCTGCTTCGAGCTGCTCCGCCTTCCTTTTCATTGTCTGCCAATTGTCTTCGGTGAACTTTCGTTGCTCGATGGTGGCATCACGCTCTTTCACTGCCTTTTCGCCGGCAATCTGGGCATCCTTTAACCGAGCGGCACCATTCCGGAGCCAGCGCATGTATTGACCCCGTGCACGGTTGCAGCTCGCGATGAACTGAAAATAAAAACAGAAAAAATAAATCGGTCGAGCTCACAGATTAGTCCACCAATTAAAGCGTAAAGTGAAGATTCCAGAAGTACCTTGAAGCCGAAGCTCGCCATGTCTTTGAAAACCCCATCGGTACCAGGGGGGACCTCGGAGGTGGAGCCCCTTATCATCCCGAACAGCTCTGCGCATTTATCAACATTGTTGACAAACGGTTCGTTCGACTCGGGGTACTCGAACGAAAATCTCCAGTTAATCTCTTTGGCCTTGTCGTTACCAGGTGGATCAACCCTAGGCCGTTTGCTTGCAGCCTCCGCTCCAACTTGACCGCCATCGTCACCATCCCCGGAAGGTTTCTTCTTTTTCCTTTCGCCTTAGCCCCGGCGACCTCCTTCTTCTCGGCAAGGCGAGCAGCCTCGGCTTCCTCCCTCCGTTTCTTCTCTTCACTTCCTCTTCTTTTGCTTCTTCTCCTCGCGCCTTGCCGGCTGCGCGGCTTCGTCGGTTTCATCGTCTACTTGCCGAGTAGACACTTGGTCTTCAGCACTCTGAGCCTCGACCCCACCTTCATCGACAGACTCGAGGTTCACATCGTGTTGAGGAGCAACCTCGACCTCTTCTTGGGTCGGCACCGGATCCGTGCGTGCAGGCCGAGATGCAGAAGGACCCCGATCCTTACTCCCGCTCTTCTTGGCCTTCAGGCGTGCAGCGAGGCTGGGCGCGTTAACTTGAATTGGAGCCATTGCAATTGCTCTTTCCCGCAGGTTATTCTCCCTCCTCCAACTAGCTGAAACAAAAAATGTGTTAGGCGATGTCAATTACGGAAGAAACATCAAAAATATCCAGCTTACCGTTCGTGATGCGAGTGATGGCAGCCTCGACTCTTCGACGATGTATATCGGGCCAATGTTGTATCCCGACAGCCCTGATCTTCTAAAGATTTGCGTGATAGTTCTCCGGGAACGCTTCGAGCTGAACGTTTCGATCTGCGAAAGACGAAGAAACATTAATAAAAGACAAGGAATGACTCGAGATACGACCAAACTAGCGATCTACCGATGCTGTCGCTCCATTCGTTCCTAAAATTTCTGGAGGTGTCGACGACCAACTTCTCATCCACCTTCGCAAAAGGACGTCTCCCAGCTCGGCGTCCTGTTGATAGGGTAGACCAAAGGACAGTCTTTCCTCGCCTTTATTGTATACGTCCCCGGAATCGAGTTGTTTTTTTGGACGGTGGTCATTTCTTAAAAAAAACGCCAATCAACGTTGACACCGACCTCGCTCCCAAACAAAAGAACTGCAACCATGAACCTAATCCCCGCTGGAAGGATTTGCGAGAACGCAATACCTCGACGCTCTACATAGTCCGTCAGCAACCTCGGCAGAGGCACCCAAAGATGACAGAGACTGAACCACGCCTCGTAAAGCGTGACCCAGCCCTCCGGAGCATGCCACGACCGATCTTCAGGCCCTGGCGCCATCAGCTCGCCTCGAAAACCGTATCGTAACTGAAACTCCTCGAGGCGTTGAGCCGTCATCTGAGACGGAATGTTGACTAAGCGATTCTTGATGGCTCCTTTGCGCTTGGAACCTTTGCGTCGAGGTCTAGCTTCCTCATCTTGTTCTTCTTCCTCGCCCTGCTCATCTTCTTCCTCACCCCCTTCGTCGACCTCGTCCTCGACACTCTCTGTAGCCTCCCCATCACGTCGATATTCCTCAAAAGGAACTATCTGAAGATCCGCTTCACCTCGCGGAGACGCCCCATTAGAACGGACTCGATCCGCCAATTCAATCAATGGAGACTCTCCTCGATCCGATCGAGTGTCGGACCTCGAAGACACCTTAGGGGAAGAGCTAGCATTCCCAGAAGCTTCCTGTTCGGATCTAGAGCCAGACTCTAAGCTCGACTCGATACGCTGACCCCCCAAAGACATTACTCGATGTCGAATAACAATAAAAACAAAAATAACAAAAGGACGAGTTCTAGAGAGAGAAAGGAATTCTAGAGAGAAGGGAGAGCAAGATTACCTTTTGTAAACGGAGAAGAAAATGAGAAGAAGAGGAGGAGAGCAGAATATATAAGGAAGAAAAAAAGCGGTTACCGAGAAAAGTAATCATGATCCGGACGCTTTCCAGTACTTTGTTTAGTAGCGGATCCCACGCGCTTCCCGAAAATCACGCTTCCACTCGCGACTCTTCGCTGCCCAAGACAACCGTTGCTTTTTGCGACTTTTCGTTGCCCAAGACAACCGTTGCTTTTTGCGACTCTTCGCTGCCCAAGACGACCGTTGCTTTTAGCGACTCATCGCTTCCTAAGTATCACCTCGACTCCAAAGACTCCGCATCGATATCGAGGTCCAAAAAAAATGAAATTAAAGATTCTCCAGCTCGATGCGTTGAATATCGAAGTAATATCTACATCAACGGACTCGGGGGGGACAATTGTTGTAGGTGGGCTGAGCACAGCCCCCTTTTAGTAATTTCGTTCTGACCCGTTAGCGAAATGGAAGCCCAATAAGATCAAAGATCGACAGGTCCATGCGCGAAGAGTAAAACGAAGTCGTTCGGGAATATGACCTTTTCGTATCAAAGGAACAACTCGCCACCTCGACATGGATGGGACAGTTTGCCACTTCGACATGGATGGGACAGCTCGCCACGTCAATGAAGATAAAACAGCTCGCCAGCACGACGTTCTGATAGACGGTCGGTCAGGTCTATCTACCCGGCCGCCCAAGCTACCCTGACCGAGATGTAACCTAATTTGAACACTATAAATAGCCCTGTAACCTCATTTATTACGGGATTCGTAATCTGAAATAGAGACCAAAATACTCAATACTTGTGATCACTAACTCTTACTTCGCAAGATAACCTCGCTGAAACTACCTCGAAACATTCATATCGACCTCGCTTTTATTTAACAAGAATCTCCGAGCTCCACCTAGATATATTTACTAAAGTGATATCGTGTGCGGATACAATACAACACATAAGAGCCCATCATTTCAGAAACAAAGAGCTGAGTCCGTCAAAAAATTTATGCAGAGAGTAGAAATCTCTTCCGTACGACCCTTCGGCTCCTTTCCTCCAGTGAGATATCGAACTTTCTTTTCAAGGTTAGCTTTCCGCCTACAATTTTTTTTTTTTTTAATTCGAAATTCTCCTTTGTTTGGTTAAAGATTTCGTTACGCGTGTGAATTCGATGTTTCCGGTTTTTTCTGCCTAGGTTATGAAACTGGAACTTGTAGACACTCCGATGATTAACTGATCAGTAATATCATGAAGGAAGCACAAAAAAGAGTAGTTTTTTTAGTGATGAAAGGAATCGATTTGATATGGGTTTATCATCATTTTGAAAAAGAAAAAAAGAGGGAAAAAAAATCTCGACTTTAAATTTTGAATTTTTCGATGGTCGTTTGTCTGAAATGGCGTTATTCTCCGCCAATTTGTTGTTTATCAATCAGAAAGAGATTTCTCAATGATTTTGACATCAGACTGATACACATGTTTCTGTCGCTAGTTAGTCTTGTTGCTGCAGTTTCACTACTTTCTCTTTGGTTTAATGTAAATTAGCAGTTTCAGTTTTGAGTGTTTTTCTTTCATGGTTGCTTCCTTTGTACCAATCTAAGAATTGAGCTGATTAGTAACTCTTTTTTACCCTAACTTCTTTTTAACCATCATAATAAAATTTGGTAACTGTGGTTGCTCAACTTGATGGTTTCTTGCACTTTTACTGCTTGATTATCTTCATTAGTCAGATGGATTTTGCTAGGATATGCGAG